ACACAGAAAGGTCAGATTTTGGCAAGACAAAAGTCTTGACAGAAAATTGAACAAATAATTTACTTCAAATACAAAAATATGTTGCATAACGTCAGTGAATGAAGTAGTGGTGCTGTGAGATCCATATTTAATATCTTGTATGACTCCATGAGCTTGAAGGACACATCCATGCAGTTCAACAATGATTCATACAATTTGTTGATGAAGTCATCAGGAATAGCAAAGAAAGCGTCTTACATGCCTCCCAGAGTTCATCAAGATTCTTTGGTTTTGTCTTCCATGCTTCCTCTTTCATTCTACCCCAGACATGCTCAATGATGTTCATGTCTGGTGACTGGGCTGGCCAGTCCTGGAGCACCTTGATCTTCTTCACCTTGAGAAACTTTGATGTAGAGATAGAAGTATGTGATGGAGCACCATCCTGCTGCAAAATGTGACCCTTTTATGGTTGGGAATGTAAGAGGAGCTAATACTTCTTGATATTTTAGGTTATTGATATTTGCCTTCCACCCTGCAAATGTCTCACACACCCCCAGACTGGATGGAACCACAGACCAGGATTTTTCCACCACCAAACTTAACTGTTTTCTGGGTGAATCTTGGATCCATGTGGCTCCAGTTGGTCTCCTGCAATATTTGCAGCAGCTGTGATGTAATTCAACCGAGGATTCATCTGAGAAATCCACCTTCTGCCACTTTTCCAGTGTCCATCCTTTTATCAGGCTGTGGGCCTTGGCAAATGCCACACGGTTTTTTAATTGCCTTTTGTTTAGTGCTGGTTTCTGTGCACTGATTCGACCATGGAGGCCATTTCCAGACAGAATTCTACAAACTGTTGTGGTTGACACAGGGACTTGAGGTGACCAGGCCTGGTGGAGTCTGCTGCAGTGGAAAAGGGGCCTTGGATTTTTGAATCAACAAACGGTCCTCCCGAGCAGTTGTATTGCGCGGCGTCTGCTGGACCTGGGCTTGTCAAAAACATCTCCAGTCATTTCAGATCTTTTTCTTATTCTTTGTACTTGTCATCAGCCTCTTGATAATTAAGGCTTTGGTCTCAGGGTGGATCTGAGGCATGTTGTCAGAGGTCAAGTTGCAGTTGATGTGAAGGTCTGGTGTGCTGGGTTCTTTTATACACACCCACTAACTGATTGATCAGTAACTGATCACAGGTGAGGCTGTAATCTAGGATTGGGTGCATCATATGACAAGGCCACAAGACTTTTGTCTTGCCAAAATCTGACCTTTCTGTGTTCATTAAATGATCAATCTTTCTTCAGTGAAGCAAATTTATTTTAGTATATTGAGCATAATTTGGGAGGGTTTTAACTTTCATATGAGACATTTCTAAAACCAATCGATTAATTTAAAGTCAGGTTATAAAGCTTTTGTTTCTACAAAATGGATAAGCAACAGGACTTTTGTCAGGGACTGTACACTGGAAGTCATCGCATGTTTCCAAACGTCTTCTTGGTTTGTGACGTAAGCGTGAAGAGAGTCTATTTTACTACTTTACCTGCAAAGAATCTACTCCAAATATGGAAGTCCAAACTCACTCATATAACTGCGACCTCAGTAAGCTTCATTTGACTGGAGCCTGTCACACTTTATTCGTTGTTTCCTCAGTTTCTGCTCTGGACACTTGGGTCTATGAACATGGTAGATTTTTAGAATAATGGTCCTTTTTTCGTTTTTGTTTCATGACATTGTTCGTTTCGTGACTTCCGTCTCTCCCTAGTCTGTGAGTCCGCCCCGGGGCAGCTGTGGTTTCAGAGGTGAACCTGCTGGTGGAGCCCCCTAGTGGTCAGGAGGAGGGCAGCTTTGTGTGATGTTACTTCTGAAATCTGAGGAAGACATCAGATAAATCTGTGCTCCTCCTGCTCCACCTGTCTGCAGCTCCAGAAGAACGGATCAAGACCAGGACCAAGACCAGGACCAAGACCAAAACCAGGATCAGGACAAAGACCAAAACCAGGATCAGGACCAAGACCAAAACCAGGATCAGGACCAAGACTAAGATCGAGACCAGTACCAAGACCAAATACCAAAGAATCATTCCAGACTGTGTCTCCGGGTTAAAGAGTCTGTCACCCACTCTGGTGCATTCTGCCCTTGAGCAAGACCATGTCTCTCGCCCTGCCTCTGTGTGAGTGTGTGTGTGTGTGATTGGAGAGCAGTTCCTGATTGTCATGAGTAGAACACTTGTAAATATTCTCTGTCTCTTCAGTTGAACCTTGGGCAATTCTCGCGATATTTGTGAGTTCACAAACTCATGAGAATCCATGTTGCTTGACTTTCACTGCTGCAAGTCCGACCCTATTACACCGAGGTCCTGTTGGTTTTACACCGAGGTCCTGTTGGTTTTACACCGAGGTCCTGCTGGTTTTACACCGAGGTCCTGCTTTTTTACACCTGAGGTCCTGTTGGTTTTACACCGAGGTCCTGTTGGTTTTACACTGAGGTCCTGTTGGTTTTACACCGAGGTCCTGTTGGTTTTACACCGAGGTCCTGTTGGTTTTACACTGAGGTCCTGCTGGTTTTACACCGAGGTCCTGCTGGTTTTACACCGAGGTCCTGCTGGTTTTACACCGAGGTCCTGTTGGTTTTACACCGAGGTCCTGTTGGTTTTACACCGAGGTCCTGCTGGTTTTACACCGAGGTCCTGTTGGTTTTACACCGAGGTCCTGCTGTTTTACACCGAGGTCCTGGTTTTACACCGAGGTCCTGGTTTTACCCCGAGGTCCTGCTGGTTTTACACCGAGGTCCTGTTGGTTTTACACTGAGGTCCTGCTGGTTTTACACCGAGGTCCTGCTGGTTTCACACCGAGGTCCTGCTCCTCTGTGTGTTCCTGAGGTCACAGTGACTTTGCTCTGCTCTCGGCTCTAACAGGCCGTGACTCTGGTGTTTTCTGTCAAAAGAAATTCAGAAAAAATGAGCGGAGGAGGAGAAATGAGCAGTGAATAATAATTTCACCCAAACTTATTTCTTTAAAGTCACCCTGTGTAACTTTTCACATGGACGTTCTGTCACGTGCTTGTCTGTGATGTTTTTGTTCAGTTTTAATCTTTATTTGCAACCCTAAACTCAACTATTTTATGCTTAAGAATGCCTCTCCACAGATCTTACCTGTAACTTGGCCCAGTGGCATCACCGGCTTGTCTCCATGGAGACTGAATTTACTGCAGTGCAAGGTGGATGAAAAGTTACACAGTGCACCTTTAAGTCAGTCATTACTGGGAGACGTGTAAAAGGCAAATATGATACTCAGTTTACTTTCTAAACATTTTAGCCTTTTCACAATCCTATTTCCTAATTTCCCTCATAAATCAAAACACTTGGTTCCATCTTGTGACATCATCAGGTGGTAATTCCTGGGTTTCACATGACATCAGAACATTCAAAAGGCCAATTATATTAAGTACAAATGAGGGCAAATAAAATAAATATGATTCAAATGCAGATTTGTGTTGGATTACAGTGAGTTCTTGGCTCGAGTCACTAACAGAAATGATCAGATTCAACATTTGTGAATTCATCTTTTGGATAATTCATGGTAAAATATAAATAATGTAATGAAATCAATCGGAAAATCTGTTTCTCGTCCCATCTATGACATCCTCATGTTCTAGAATCTGAAAACTAAACTAAGACTACGTTTACACACGTTGTTTCTGTGTCTGCAAGTCTTCTCTATCCACACAGCTTTTGGAAGTCTAGTAAGTCTTTATTTCTATAGCGCTTTTCACAGACATTTTCTGTCCCCAAAGACGCTTTACATTATACACTACAGCATTATTCAGCATTATTCATTCACTCTATACCCTGGTGATGATAAGCTACTATTGTAGCCACAGCTGCCCTGGGGCACACTGACAGAAGCGCAGTTGCCATGCCAATCGGCGCCATCGATCCCTCCGACCACCACCATCACTTACACACACACCACTTTCATGCTAGGCAATGCGGGTGAAGTGTCTTGCCTAAGGACACACAATGATTGAATTGATTGTATTTAACTGACCTTGACTATCAACTGTTCTGGAGACCATGTTTTGGGTTGATGGGAGAAACCGGAGGAAACACGAGGAAACATCCAGACACGAGGAGAAACAAGCAAACTCCACACAGAAACGCCCAGGCAACCCGGGGATTAAACCCAGAACCTTCTTGCTATGAGGCATGAGTGCTAGACACTGGGCCACCGTACCACCACCAAAGCTTTGAGCAGATTTGTTTACATTTTACAGAAACAAAACTTAAAACTGCATGACTCATTTGCATAAACTAAGAGCTCAAAACACAGCTCGATATTGTATCGCTGATGTGGTTCAGCTTCTGTCGGACTAAAGGACACGACTCAGTGGAATATGAGTGTTCTTTCTGTGACAGAGGGGTGTTCTGCTGATGGTGAGTCTGTTCTGTGTTTCTATTGTGTTGGAGATGGTTCATGTTAAACTTTTCAGAGATTATACGTCTGCAGGTCGTACACACAGACACATGTTTATATGAATGGACAGATATTCTAGCCTCTTAGTGTTTTGGTGGTGAATTACTTCACGGTGCACAGAACTACATCAGAGTATCAGTGTTTTCAGGCGTCCACACAGTCAAGGATCAGATCTGTACTCAGATGAATTTGTGGGAGCTGGAGGCACCAGATCGTTGAGTCTCTAGAGCAGTTTTCATTCGGATTAGTGTGAACGAACACTGCATCCACAACAAAAAACACTCCAAGTGTGGACGGGGCCTAAAACACCTCTGTGTTTTTAAAGTCCATACACCTTTGTGGAAAAACGCTTCTGTGGTAAATGGTCAAATTTTTATACAGCACCTTTCCACATTCAAAGCACTCAAAATGCTTTACAACACACTCACACACCAGTATACACAGACACTAGGGGTGAGATGGGTTAGGATGAGTGTCTTGCCCAAGGACACAACAACAGCATTTATCTGTGGGAGTCTTTAACTAACCCTTGGTCTCTCTTTCTGTCTCCTGCAGGAAACCATCACCATGACTACCAGCACAGCCACCTGGACCTGACGGCGTTCACACCCAAACGAGGTGAGACACAGACTATTTACAGGCTCAGTGCACCATTGTCCCATGTGTTTGAGAAAAAACGTGTCCTGCTCAAGTACAGATGTGTCGTATGAGCAGCTCTTGAGGCTGAAATAAGTCCTCTTTGTTCTGTCTGCAACTGTCTTGTGGAGTCTTGTTCACGAGTGAGGGGAGGATGGAGCATGAGATTGACAGGTGGATCAGTGCAGCGTCTGCAGTGATGTGGTCGCTGTATTGGACCGTTGTGGTGAAGAGGAGCTGAGCCGAAAGGCGAAGTTGTCGATTTACCGGTCAGTCTATTGTCCTACTCTCACCTCTGGTCATGAGCTTTGGGTAATGACTGAAAGGACGAGATCGTGGATACAAGCCCTCGAAATGAGTTTCTTTCACAGGGTGGCTGGGTGCTCCCTTAGAGATAGGGTGAAGAGCTCAGTCACAAGGGAGGAGCAAGGAGTAGAGCCACTGCTCCTCCACGTGGAGCAGAGCAGCTGAGGGGAGGGCATCTGTTCTGGATGCCTCCTGGGCACAGTTTTAGGCATGTCCCCCCGGGAGGAGGCCCTGGGGAAGACCCAGGACATGCTGGAGGGACTATGTCTCTGGGCTGGCCTGGGAACACCTCGGGATCCCCCCAGAGGAGCTGGAGGACGTGTCTGGGGTGAAGGAAGTCTGGGAGTCCCTGCTTAGACTGGATGGATGGTGTTCTGTCTGCAACTGATTATAAAAAGTTCTATTGTCAGATAATCAGGAAGTGCGTGTTAGCATGCTAATTGTCTCTGAAAGTTGTGAACAGCTTTTATAAACTCATCATGGTGAATAATGAGGACACTCAGAAGGAAAGTGAGGAAGAACTTTGGACCACTGCACACTGTTTACAAGGAACTAATTCTGTTTTCCAAGTTTTTAACTCAGATGTCTTCTGTTAAATGGACTTTTGCGATCTTTCTCCATGTTATAGTAGTTTCTTCTCATTGACCGTTCTGAAGTTGTATTTGGAGTGATTCGTGCATGACGCTATTTTGCAGATCTCCCCCGTTTTCAGCTCCACAGGTACACGTCCTCTGTGACGTCCACACTTCCCTCTCCGGTTTCTTAATGGGTGATACTTGTAGGTTTGGGTGGCGTTGCGTCGTCATTTTGGTCCAAATATATTATAAAAAAAAAAACGCTCTGCTCTAGTGTGACGTGCAGCAGAGGAGCCCACAGCCTACGACCCTTTGTATGGTGCATGATGTTTACGGCCACATTAGCTCCTACTGGACACCACAGTTTTCTCACGCCGAAGTCAGCGCTCTTGTTTCTTCTGTTAAGTCGCTTTAGATCAATATTGTGATTTTAAATGACTAAATTAGAGACCTGCAGGTGTCAGAGATTATGATTGTAACAGACATCATATTACCAAGCATCATATGTGTGGTTTCAGACAGTAAAAAACAGGTAGAACGTCTTTAAGTTTCCTCCGATCATTTGCTGATGTTGGAGAATGGGCTTGTCACTGTTTGAAATAAGTGTTCAGGTATAAAACTTCCTTCCCTGGCGACTCAGCGGCGTACGGGGCTTTTCTGTGAACAGATGAAATATTAGAAGAACTAAAAGTGTAACAAAATCACAATCTACAATATGAGACATAAGAGCAGGGTTTCAGATGACGATGTAAACAGAAGGATAACATTTCACCGAGATCAGGAGCAAATCAGGTCATTGAAAGGTCCTGTTTTTTTTTTTTTTTTCTTTTTGAATTAATTGTTGCTATAGAAGTTTATGTATATAGCAATGTTTCAGATGGGAGTTGTGTTGATTCATGTGTGTTTGAGTAATCTTGTATTGTTCTGTATTTGAGGCTTGAATGCTCATACATTTTCAGCTTTCATCTACCCCCTATTTCAGCCCATTATTCACACATACAGGTTTAAAAACATAAAGCAAAATAGACTTTTGTGAGCTCTAAGTCATGTTCTAATGTTGTTCCTTCCTCAAACACAGAGCTGGAGTTGTATTAGTAGTAATATTTTACTCAGTACAAATGTCAGTAACGCGCGTCACAATGTTTTTTTAACCTGGATTGAGGTGGTGGTTTTTTTTTCATAGAAATTCGCTAAAATCACCACGATATCAGCAGTGGTGAAACGCCAGAGACGTGCCTGCTTAGACCTTCAGGTAACCACGGGCGAAAGGACCGACACAGAACTCCACGCTGTTTAGACCTGGTTTAGACCTGGATCAGTTCTGGTTTAGACCTGGGTCAGTTCTGGTTTAGACCTGGTTTACACTCGTCCTTCACTATATCGCGGTTCACCTTTCGCGGTCTCGCTGTTTCGTGGATTTTTTTTTGTGCAATTTTGCATGCTTTTTGTTTTTACAGTGTATGAACGTGTATTGTGTTCCTCCTGCTGCGTCCTGATTGGCTAAGGGACTCCTGTCTCCTGTACAGTACAGAATGTGTTCAGCTGCCAAATTTAAATAAATGTTGGATCTCTATCAGTATGATTCTGAAATGTTGAATGTTTGTAAGTTTTCTCCCCGACAAAATCCACAGTGTCGACGAAACGTTCTGCACTGACATAGTCTCCTGCGCTCACACCCAAAAGGCAGAGGACGATGTAACCATCGCACAAAAAGTTGGACTTCTGGACACTCTGAAGGAAGTTAGAAGTTACTCGCTGTAGCAGAGTCTTGCACTGGGTCTGGTACCTGCAAATAGTTGCTGAAATCAGGGCCGCGAGCCCGAGCAGCAGAGTGTCTGTAAAGCACGACTGGGTGACAGACGCTCTTACCTCCGTGAGGTGCAGAGCAGAGCCGCTCCTTTCTCTTGTGGTCACCTTTGAGTCCATCCCGACAGTGAGTCCTGTTTTAGTCCTTGTTTTCAGTCCTGGTTCAGTTTGGTTTAGTCCTGGTTTAGTCCATATTTGGCTCAAAAGTTCAGCATCTTCGCAGTTAGAGTAACTTAAAGTAATACAATAGTAATGTAATGTTTTACATTTTAAATGCAGTAATATTGTAATGTAACAAATGACTTTGAAATGACAGTAATAAGTCATAAATAACACATTACAGTTTTAAAGTCACTTGCCCAACAGTGCTAATCTGCATAAATAAACTCAACTTTACAACATATAAACATAAACACTCTAGAGCCACATCAGCCTGTTTGACATTAGAATGTGTTTAATTCAGCTTTGTGCAAGTCTCACAGAAAGAAAACTTAAAACCGCATGGCTCATTTGCATAAACTAAGTGAAGAAAAGGAAAAAAACGCTCTTGTGCACTGATGTGGTTCAGCTTCTACTAAAGGACACGACTCAGTGGAATATGAGTGTTCTTTCTGTGACAGAGGGATGATGATGCTGAAGGTGAGTCTGTTCTGTGTTTATCGCGATGTTTTCAAAGATCGCAGGTTTATCACAGATGCGGTCGAGAACGGGAACGAAAATTACAATTCTTTGCGGGAGCGATGTGTCGTTGTCCCAAAAACACATAAAAACAGATTTTATAATAAGGCAACTTGCATACAGAAACAGTAAAATTAGAGATTAAAAATGAGATTAACGCGATTAAAAAACATAATGCACTAAATCTGACTGTAATTAATTAATCGCAATCAACGCAATAATTTGACACCCTATGATTTATTGTCTTTTATTATATTAATTTGTCTGTGCAGCATTTGGAAACTTTTTTTCGTGAAATGTGCTGTATAAATAAAATGGATTGGATAGAAAACTTGTTTAAATCAGCAGACCGGACACATCACAGCAATATCACGTGAGCACTCTGAGGAAGACGACACAGCAAAAAGTGGAGTGTTAAAAGTGACTCTCACAGAATCAATTTTAACATTTTCTCAGGGTTTATATGAGTCCAATCTGTTCTAGAGTTAATTTAACATTTTTGGAAATGTTACTTAAGTAAGACTGGACCAAAAGTTTATGTTTAACCCTGAAATCCAGAGTTATATTAATGTTTTGAGAGTAAACGGATAACACTTTGTAGAGTTATCCTGATTTAGCTAAACAACACACAGAGGTGTTTTATTTTATTTTTACTTCATTTTCGTTGATTTAAGATGAAATTATGAACAAAACTGGTTCAAACTGGTCTACTCTCACAAGAGTTTGAAGTGGTGAATGGGAGGAGCCAAATTTACACTAAGAGAAGTTGAATTAACACTAATGGAAATTTAATTAACACTAAGAGAAGTTGAATTAACACTAAGAGAAGTTGAATTAACACTAAGAGAAAGTTGAATTAACACTAAGAGAAGTTGAATTAACACTAAGAGAAGTTGAATTAACACTAAAGAAGTTGAATTAACACTAAGAGAAGTTGAATTAACCTCGACCATATCAACTCTGGCAAATAACCCCAACTCAAACCCCCATTTAGCTTTCAAATAGTTAAAATAACACTTTTGGTGTTAAAATCAACTCTGAAATATTTGACCCTAAAATTTTAACCCTCCAGTTTTTGCTGTGCACAGAGAGCAGTTCAAACCAACAAACCTAATAACATAACATATTATAACAGAGATCCGGACATAGCGTAAAATGGGCCTTTCACAGAATGGAGGTCCTTTAAAATGCCAGCGCTGTCCCCTCGTTCCTCTTCCAGACTCTAATCTCTGCCTCTCCGCTGCCATTGACCCGCTGTGACTTTGTGAAGAGGCTCATATCCGAAAAAATGAAGCTAAAGGATTGCGCCGTGAACGTTTTTAATCTCAGGTTGAAATCTCTCAGTGAAATTAAACTGCGGTGAGACAGGAGAGAGCGCCGTTTGTCAGTGTGACCAAAGTCATTACAGATGCCTCCTGCGTTTGGATAAATACAGATTTGTGGAGATCTCTCTGAATGCAGATGGAATAAAACACTCAGAGAATTAACTTACGTTCTTAAAGATGCAGTAACTTCTTCTTAAAGCAGATCTGTTCTGCAAAATGGACTTTTCAGAGCTTTTTTTCCATGTTATAGCTGTTTCTCTTTTCACTGACCCTCTGGACTTGTATTTGGAGT